AATCTGCTGAGGGTGGTTAGATGTAATGCCCTGGAGAACTCTTGTCTGACCCTTGTACTGAACAGCTAACCACTTCTGGTCCCAATGAACCAGCATTGGGTTGTGGGCTTACAACCAATCCATACCGATGATCATATCAAAGTTGGCTAGGCCCAAGGTTCTAAAATTGGAATGAAAGGTGCATTCATCAACTGTCCAAGGCACCTGACGCGTCATAGCACCGCTGATGAGCATTCCCCCACCTATAACTTGGACTGAAGTAGAGATACCCTCAGAATGAATCCCAACCAAGTGAGGCACCAAGGCTTCATTAAGGAAGGAGGATGAACTGCCACAATCAATCAGTATATTGATAGGAACATTCTGCAGTAGCCCAACCAATCGAACTGTGCGAGCAGATGGGACACCAGACAAGGCAGACTTGGACAGTGCCATCATAAGTTGCTCTGGAGCAGAAGGTTCTGGTTTCGAGTCGGCCAGCGAGTCATCTGAGGAAAATGAATCCCAAAGAGCATCAATAGCTTGCAATACCTTTGGAGGACAGCGGTGATCCCTGCTCCACCTGGCGCTACATTTATAACAGAGGCCAAGACCGCGGTGGTATGTCTTCAGCGCAGCAAGCTTGGCGTCAGGTGGTGGCGGTGCGGCTGGAGCAGCCGCAGTTGGTGCGGCCGGAGTCGCCTTGTCAGCTCGCTGGTGGTGCTGGTGGTAGGGGTAGAGGCCGCCGTGCTGCAGGGTACGGCTTGTACGCAGCGTACCAATCACCTCCACGCGGATGCTGGGCCACAGCAGGGCCAGCCACCTCTTCCTGCAACAACGCCAACGAGGAGGCAGAATCGAGTGTTTTGGGACGTTGCAGAAGCATGATAGCATTGATTTTAGGCTTAAGACCATCGATGAAACGCATGGTTAAGTACATTGGATCGGAATGTTGGGAATAGGCTGTAAGTTGGTCTTTCAATTCACAGAATTCTGTCACATAGGGAGAGACAGTAGAGGTTTGGAGAACATTGAACAGCTTGCGAAGCAACAACTCATGCTGATCTCGGTCAAAGCGGTCATGGAGGAGTTGGCAGAAGGTTGTCCAGGTGGCATTTTGTAGCTCATTCTGGATGGATTGGTACCAGAGATCAGCGGGTCCTTCGAGATACATCTCGGCAACGCTGAGCCATAGATGTTCGTCAACCTGATACATTCTAAAGTACTTCTCACAGCGGCGCCGCCAGCGATGATGATTCTTGTCGTTGAACTTGGGAAAGGGTAGTTTAGGGAGGCGGCCAAGGTTTGCTGCAATTTGAGTGGGATCTGGGGTATTGCAACAATTGAGCAAGGGAGTGGGGTGGGAATTGGGTAAGGGTGGGTGGATTGGGTTTGGCGGCTGATGGATCGACGCTGGGTGAGGGATAGGTGGGTGTTTAGGTTCGTAGGCAGGTGGTGGGCGGGACAAATAACTTTTTACCATTATAACGGATGGCCACTCTCCAGTTCTCGCTTTGGTGAATTCCCATATTCTTTCACCAGCGTTGTTCGCTCCGAGATACACTTTTACCACTTTTGCACTCGTGGCTCTCCAGCACAGCTTGCCACGTCGGCCCCGAGCGCGCGAAGGGTGCAAAATGACCTCGCCTGCCCCTGCCCCCCTCGTCTTAGCTATCCGGGCCGGTCTCAGTTGACCCAGCCGGCCCATTTGCCCTATCCCCTTCATCTCCTCCATCCGCACGCTAGCTCTCAGGAAGCCGCCGCCCCTTACTCCCCCGTCCCCTTGCTCGACACCCCTTCACGCTCACCATGACACCACCTCGGCAGGTCCTGGAGATCGAGCCACCCCGGCCGCCCCTCCACCTGGACTCGGGAGGACGAGCCGGCGAGCCGCCCCTCTGCCTCCGCTCGCCTAGAGTCCGTCACCATGGCTACTTCCTGTGCTTGCCTGAAACTCGAGCCACCGCCGTCGCCTACCTGGAGTCCGGCAACGGCACCGCCTGCCACCACCGTTGTTGTCTGCCAAGATCTGGGGCAGGCGAGTAGGATAGCATGAAGAGGAACATGGGAGGGGGATGGTGGAGACATACCTGATGCCGGGACATGGGTCCACGTCATGACGACGCCAGACCCAGGATCCCATGTAGACTGTGCAACACAGTGCCCGCTGGGCAATTTGGTGCCGGGGTCGGTCGGAGCGTGAACGGAGGCCGAGGACGGGGAAGTGAAGATGCCAGGTTGCTGCGGCGCGGTGTCGAACACCACGCGGTCGTAGTGCTTGGCCATCTTCTGGACCTTGAGATTGAGGTCGCCGACAATCCCCTCCACCTCCGGGCGCCACTTGCCGAGATCTGTGGTGGCGGCCTCCAGGGCGGCGACGCGTGCGTCGCGCTCGTCGTGGTCGTGCTCGACTCGGAGATGCTGAAGCTCGCCTCAGGCAGCCTCCAGCAGCTCGAATTGGGCGTCGATGGCGGCGTCCCGATTGTGGCGGTCGGTGTCAAGGTCGGAGAATCGGCGCTCCCACTGCGCCTCGTGGTCATCAAAGCGGGGCCCGAACTCCACCTTCGACTGCTGGATCTCGTCGAGAATCATCTTGAGCTGGGGATCCATGGCTCCAAGGGATCGCTGGAGGCGGGTGTAGTGCTGCTGGGGTGGATCGACTGCCAGGACGACGAGTCTCTGATACCAGATGTGAGGAGCACAACACCTTGGGGAAGGGGAAAGGAAGAACAGCAGGGAAATTAGGACGGAGGAGTTCTTAGATTAATAGGAGGAAAAAGTCTACTTAACTCCCACCTTTCATACTTGGTCTACTTCATTCCCCAACTATGAAACCGTCTGTTTTACCCCCTGAACTTTCTAAAACTGTCTATTTTACCCCCGGCAGTTTTCAGCGGTGGTTTGCTACAGTAGAATAGACGGTTTTATAAAGTTCATGGGGTAAAACACACGGTTTTAGAAAGTTCAGGGGATAAAACAGACGGTTTCATAGTTGGGGTGAAGTAGACCAAATATGAAAGGTGGAGGATTAAGTAGACTTTTTCCATTAACAGGAGTACTTTGATACAATTGTTCATAGTCCTCTCTCTCTCTCTCTTCTCTCTTTTATTTATACTAGACTTCCTCAGCTAGTTGATCCTGGTTGGGCCGTTGTAGCGGACGCTGGGCCGGCGGCTTCTCTTGGGCCTGGGCGCGGTCGAAGAGGATGGCGCGCCCTGCTCGCTGTTGGTGGCACCGTCAGGGGGCAGTCATGTAGATGTAGTGCTCATCGCCCACTAGCTAGTCACCAAATCACCCAGTACCCACCCATCGTCTCTGACCAGGACAGCAGAGCCGTGCGTACGTGCCACTTCGGTTAAGTGGCTCGACGGATGTGCCGTTGTCCTGATGGCAATGAGCTGCCAAACCACCAATGGCGACACGTCTGAGAACTCCAAACTTCGAACAGTTCATGCCTGCAAACCCGATGACGATCACACACACACAAAGGACCATGCCCTGCAACTGAAGCTATTGAATGGCTATCGAAAAGTTATTTTTTTTGTTTGCTTTGTAAAATAAAATGGATTGTTCCTTCGTCACCTCATTCCCTATGAGCTGATAACCAGTACTAGTACGAGGAATGATACACCATCTACAAGGTTTGATTCCCTGAACAAAACAACCTATAACAACCCTGTATAACAGCATGTAGAAAGAGTTTATATATTCACATGGAACTAGTGCGGAATATATATACGGATGAAGTCGTCCAGTTTAGTGCAGATCTGGCAATGTCAGTGGGTACAGTCTCCCACTCTCCACCAGCCATTTTCAGTGCCTTTAGTTTTTTTAGATGAACCATTCTCTGTAGTGCTCTGATGTGTTCCCTCCAATAGTTAGCAGAAGCAATGGAGGTCTTCATCCGGCCATGATCACAGCTATTACTAGCTTGGAACCGAGAACTTTTGGGTGTTTCGTCGTAGTCCGCATATACAATCGATCGAAGTGTTCTCCTTTTCGGCTGGATGTGGATGCTCACTAATCGAAGCCATCTTTTCTTTGCGCCTTATTGTTCGGTCAAAATCCAAAAGGGCTACAACATCGTGTGTAGCACTTCAAGGAGACATTATCCAGACAAGGAGCATCGTTGTTGTTCCTGTCAATTAGTCTTTGCTTGCGAGATCATCATCATCACAGAACGGAAACACATGAATCTATTCGTCAAATTTTAAAGAAACCAGTCTGTTTCCAATTAAATTCTTTTGTTTCAGCAGGCCCGACCAATGGAAATATGGAATAATGCAACCACACCCTATGAAATTCTTGCGTTCTTCACATCCCTCTCAAAATAAGGTGTGTCTTCTCCTATGATGTCATTTACTCCTTCCGTTCTGAAAGAATTGTAATTCAAGTTTGGTACAGTATCGTTCAAGCCTTCTATTATTTAGCCCCTCTCTTGGTCGGTTTCCGTATCCGCAACTGTTCGGAGACAAAGGCATATGTACATGCCTGCATGATCTACGGGCAGCATCTCTTTCACTTGCTAGTCCCCAAAACGAATAATGCACCTACGGTTGGAACTTGGAAAGATCTTCTTCTATTGAACTTGGTAGCGGCGTTGCCACTTGCTACGTGTCTTCTGTGTTGAAAAGATGAGCATGAGCTGAGCCACCAGTCTAACCATATCCCAACCCATTGCACAATGACATGGTTGCTTCTGTCCCGGACTTCATTCGTAGTCGTAGAGGTCAACTGCAAACGTTTTTTTGGTGAAGTTTCATGTCGCGCCTGAACCTGAAGTAGCTGCAGAAGAAGATCTGGAGCTCCAGCGTTCTGAGCCGCTGATCTTGTGGGAAGATGATATGCTCTGACGTGACGCTGCTCTTGGCCTCCTGCGCTGGAGAGACGTGAGGCTGAGGCCGTCAGGCCGATACGCGGACAACCCACCCAGAGGCCAGCGTTACCCGCCGAAACAACGGCTCGAACCCAATCCGCTCTCGCTCACCGCCCGCCGAACGCCACGCCGGCACGCACGCGACATGAAGAGCTCGGCGGGGTCGCGCGCGTCCAGGGACGTGGACGTGGAGCTGCTCAAGGCGGTGGCGCAGGCGTGGCATGCGCAGTCGGGCAACCCGCGGCCGTCGTCGCGGGCGTCGGGAACGGGCGCAAAGGACCCCGCCGGCGGCGCTGGCGCGCGGGCCCGCGCGGGCGCGGCGCCACACCGCCCGTCCCGGTTCAAGCTAGAGGCCATGGCGGCGGCCGCGGCTCCGGACGCCCGGGCCCGCGAGAGGTCGTGGGACTTCTCGCAGTCGCTGTGGGACCCGTACGAGCTCGTCGCCGTGGCGCGGAGGCTCGAGTCCGGCCTCGTCATCGCCGACCACGCCGCCGCCGCGCCGCAGGATGGGAGCGACGCGCGTGGAGCGGGGGAGAAGCGGGGCAGGGAGAGCGGCCGCAGCCTGAGGAACCTGTTCCTTCGCTCCACCTCAAAGAGGTTCGGGTTCGAGGAACCAAGCAGCTAGCGTGCTCTCTCTCCGTCAGTCTAAATGGCTAAATGTTATCATGAGATTTAGAAAAAGAATCTTTCTAGTTCGCAATTGCAATTTTTCACACACGCAGCAATTTAGAATTAGGGATTGTCTACATGTTAATTTTTTTCTTCTTCCCACACCTAAATTTCTAACCCTTAGATTAAAAAATGAGGAGCTCAAATAAACTCGACTATTCTCGTCTCTTCCTAATCCTATTCTTCTTATTCACCGTGTTGTTGTACTCCACTCCATTTGGACGAATGGGCTGCGCTATCCCATAAACAGCATGGTCACCATGTAGTCTCTCCACTACCCTCTCTCCTCCCTCTCTTATCACCAAAGGCAATCTATCGGAGCTCATATGCCACCATAGGTGGCTCCCGTCACTAATCAACCTTCTCTCCATCATTCCCATGCTATCTCGTTATGGCGTGGCAGTCGCCTCGCCACTCCACCACCCAACCGGTTATCCACCGTCGCTCGTGGTAGAAGAAACCCCTCCGCCTCATCACACCGCTATCTCGACCGCCTCCACCCCTAGACTTCCTTCTAGGTTTGTTGCAGATAGGTATGCTTCCTCTTTGTACTTAAACCATAAATCCCTAACCCCCTAACCCTAAAAGCTCATTGGGCTTGGAGAAAATGACGCACTGCTGAATCTCCTTGTTCACCAAAAAATTAAGAATCCAATGTATGTGTAGGCGGGTGGGGTGGGGGTTGCCGGAGAGGGGAGTTTTTAGCCGGTGTGATACATTTTACAAATTTGAGTTCGCATGTAATATTGTAGTTGAAGAAAAAGCATACAAGAGAAACACATACCATTTATTTCAAAACAACCCCTACTTCCTGAACCCCCGCGTCCTCTCAAATTTATATTCCATATAGTGTTGTAGCTAAAGAAAAGGCTCAGAAGAGAGAAACACATAACATTTCTTTCAAGACAATACCCCTTGACACCTGCTTAGCCCTCCTTGGCGCACCCTTGGTGTCTGACACCATCAAGTCGAACTGCGGGGAAAAAATTTGCATGGATACGGTATCCAGTGTGGTGCCGTGCATACATAGCGTATTTACTTGACACGTGTCTTCGCTAGCCTAGACTTCCGGACGTCGTGGGTGCTACGGTATTGTGCGGGAGCCAAGCATCAGGTAGTCGTCTCTAGGTGCTGTCGTTCGATCCGTTTCGTGGGACATGCGCCAATCATCCGAGGCACGCTGGTTACTGTATGCATGCAATTTTTTTTTACAAACTGCCACGGTGGTCCCAAGTGGCCGTTCCGGTTAGGCCCCTCCTTCCATCCCAAACTCTTTTCTTTTCTCCTCTTCCACTATCGTTCCCTGGATAAGTGTGCCGTGCGTTAGATTCTAGGAACACTAACAGGAGCGCCGGTTGGATGAACAGCAGAACGAGCAACAAAGTGGGAAACAACGGCAGTACCAATAATGGTTTGGATGGAGATTGCCAGATTGGAGGCTTAAACACCGCCGTGGAGGTGGCTGTGGACGCTGTCAGTGACCTTTGACGGGACATGATCTAGCACCGCTGACATATTAGCAGTGCCCTCCGACGTATACAAGTTCTGAAAGAAATCCTGTGTATAGCTTGCATCTTCTCACAATCCTCACTCGACAAACCCGTCCCCCTAGGGGCTATAAAAAGGACTATAGGGCCACTAATACAAAAAGCGACCAACATGCACGTTAGAGAACTTATTATTTATTTTATAAAGGAATGGCTCGTCTCATCAATTCCTCGACACCAGGCTAATATGAGTTCATTCCACTCAAATACCTTTGAATAGCACAATGGATATCATTGCTAGAATTGGTCCTTCTTCTCCTCGTCCCCGCCGGCGTGCATGGTGCCGGTCACCTTCACCATGTCCTTGGCGGCGGTGCATCCAGCGTGGGAGCACAGCGAAGCGGGAAGGGGCACACGCGATTTTTTTTATTTTAACACTTTTAAAACTATTTTCAAATTTGACACTCTCTACTTTTTATTTTCAAAACTAACACATTTGGCTGCGCTTATTGCCCTAGCACGGGCAAACTACACCGCACGCTATGCATGGCGGCGCGGCAGCTTGGGTGACGTGACAGCGGACCCCGACCGCTGACCGCTGACTTGGCAGGCGCTGCCGTGCCATGCCACACGACGCGTCAAGGCCCAACACAAGCCCGCGCCGTCGGCTCCTCTGCCCATCCCTCTTTCACTCTCTCTCACTCGCATCCCTCGACGCGACGCCGCCGCCCCCTCGCTCCTGGACGCGCGCGCCCGTTTCGCCGCTTATGGCCACCGCCAGCCGCTCCCTGGCCTCCTCTCTCCCTCCCCACAACCCTCCCCACTCTCCCTGACTCCCTCAGTCACCCACCCTCTCCCTCCCGCTCTCCCTCAATCCCTCGCCGCCGGCGGGCGGCCCCCTCTTTCCTTCCCTGCCTCCCTCTCGCTCTCCCACCATCCCCTGAGCCACTTCCATCTCCCTCCCTCTCCTCGTCGGATCCGAGTGTCGCCGGTCGGCCATTGCCGCGGCGGCAACCTCGTCGCCTTAGGGTGAGCCCCAATCTGCCTGCTGTTAGTGAAGGTAATCCCCTTCTCCATTTGGTGGATGAATTGAACTTTGGTTAGTTAGGGTTAGGATTAAAAATTTACTTTTACTGATTAGTTAGGGTTACCAATTTGATGATATTATTTAGGTTGTATTATAGTTTTTGTTGTATATTAAGGTATTGTTGGTTTTAATTATTATAGTTAGTATAGGTTGTAATATTAGATTAGTTGGTGTAGGCATTAATATTAGATTACATAGTGTAGTTAGTATAGTTAGTTTAGTCTAGTATTGTTAGTTAGTATAGTTAGTTAGAATAGTTACTATAGGTATTTATATTAGATTAGTTAGTATAGTTATAGTTAGTATAGGTACGGCGGTTTGGACGACTTGATGAAGTTTTCTCAAATACTTTTGTAGATGGATTGATGTGTCCGAGTTTTTTACGGAGAAAGTGTTAGGAAAGAAGATGGTATGTTTGAGGATATGGAAGAAGAATTGGAATGGTTTGATGAACCTTCTAGCTTCAACGACCTTTGTGTCCATTGAATGCAAAGTTTGGTGGTGATTTCACACTGAAGGGGAGGTTCGATAGTGGGAAGACTAGGGCACACTATGTCCTGATGCCCTTGCACGACCGTGCTCACTGGTCCCGCTATAATAGGGTGATCCAAGGTTCTAATGTGCCCATGGCTGAGGTGGTGGTGGAGAATGGGTATAGGATGCAGGTGAAAGCCCTACTTTGGTTTTGGATAATTGATGAAACCTAGCACTAACCATTGTAATGAGCGATGATATGAGCTAGGTTGGTGCAATCGAAGTGATTGAGCAAGGTGAGGTCCATGGAGATGAAGATGGACATGTGTTGATGATGATCAAGCTCTAACTTGGAAAAGAAGAAAGAGAAAAATAAAAACCGATAAGATCAAGGCAAATGTATAAGATAGGTTTTTGTTTTGCACTCAAGACATCATAGAGGGTGTGAGTGACTTAGGATCGATAGTCGTACTATAAAAAGGGGAAATATTTGGCTAAATGGTTTATCGAGTGCCACTAGGTGACATGATTCTTGCATATGCATTTAGGAACCTAGTGTGCTAACCTTGACCCTTGTAAAATGCTTTGAAAAATGCTAACACATGTGCACACAAGTTCTACACTTTGTGGTTAGCAAGTTGGAAGCAAGGGTGAAGTGGTTGTGGACTTAGAAAAAGAAAAGGAGGAGAAAGTCCACAACCGGACGCTGGCCGCGGGGTGACCGGACTCACCCCGGCGTGTCCGATCAATTATAGGCGACGGCGCTGCTCTGGCCAAGAGCAAGGTGGAAGGACTAGACGCTGGCTCGGGACCGACCGCACGTCTGGTCACAAGTTGAATGGCGGCGAGATCACGCGATCGGACACACAGGAGGAGCGTCAGGTGATCACTGACGTCAGCCTTGCCTACGCGCATAGAGAAGAGGAGCAGGGACCGACGCTGGGTGCACGTCAGGTCGCCTCTGACCTGACACGTTCGGTCAATAGAAAATGGCTCTGAACTTCTCTGGAAATGATCTGACGCTAAGTGATCCAGAGTCCGGTTGTTTCTTCTGTGAGTCCGGTCACAACTTAACCCTAGGACGCTTGATCAGTTGATCGTTGGAGATCGACGCTTGGTATTCAAAGGATGTGACACGTGGCATGAGATCATCGATCGGACGCTGGCTTGGGCGCGTCCGGTCAGTACGCAGGGCGCCCCTCTTTGGCTCTAATGGCTCTATTCATTTGGGGATGTCTATAAATAGTGTTTGTCTAGCTCCAAGGCATCACTCTTAGCACTTTGACATTCCTAACATCCTTGTGAGCCTAGGCAAACACCTCCCACTCATCTCCATCATTGATTCATCATCATAGTGAGATTGGGAGTGATTCCAAGTGCATTTGCTTGATTGATTACATCTGGTGGCACTTGGGGATCGTTGTGGCGACGGATTTCTTGTTTCTCTTGGTGGTTGCCGCCACCTAGACGGCTTGGAGTAGTGGAGGAGAATTGGCATGAGTTGGTGATTGTTTGTGGCCATCTCCCGGTGTTTGTGAGGGGTCTTGTGCCTTTCCCGGCGAAGAGCCAAAAGGTAACTCTAGTGGATTGCTCGTGTCATTGAGTTACCTTACTTGTGGGTAGGTTCTTGCGGTGTCCAATTGTGTGGATGAGGTTCATGCAACACCTCTTAGCCGCTAAACCACAAAGTGTTGGTCGACATAATGGGGACTAGCGTGCTGGCAAGCACGTGAACCTCGGAAGAAAAATTGGTTGTCCCTTGCCCTTTGGTATTCTCCCGGTGATTGAATTGATATTCATCTTATGATTGGTTCACTCCTCTACGAGGCAATATAATCAATCTACTCACTCATTTACATTCCCGCAAACTAGTTGTAGCAAGCTCTTTAGTGTAGCTAGAATTGAGAG